ACAGCCAATCCAACAAATAAACCTAGTCTTGCACCAGCAGTCCTTGGACAACTTGTGAAAAAATAGCAAACACAAACAGCCACAAAGTGAAAAGCCAATGATTGCAGAGTTATAAATTCTCCTAAAATCATGGCTTGCAACTGTTTGATGTTCTCCACACTTTTAAAGATTCCTTCAAAAGTTTCACTGAAAATAGCTCTTTGTTCATTGGCTTTTGTTTTCATGTCATCAAAWGCTTGCTTTGCTTCTGAAGTAGACGATTTCAAAGTCAGGCCATGATTCATGTTCATGGGCCATGATTTCTTTTTGGTTTCTCAATGACTGGTTTTGATGCTTTAGAACGTTCAATTGATTTTTTAACGAATGTTCAAGCTGTCCTGCAACCTCCTCTGATGTTTTTGAGAGCTTGGAGACGGTATCTTCTGTTCTCTGCTGCCATGCTTGGCTTTGCAAGTAGAAGCATATGTTGGTTGTGTGCGTGAAGAAAGTCGTGTAGGCATTGAATGCTGTGTCGTCCATATTTCCCGTACAATCTTCAATACTTTTATCTCTAGAACAATTGTAAGTCCTTCTCCCGGACTTTTTTAAATGGCAATTCGTGAAATCCACTGCTAGATAGCTTTGTTCAATATCAGTTAGTTTCTTGCAACCAACTTCGAGATTTGCAATGGCCTCCTTCCAACATTCACTATTTTGAGCTTTGGCTTGGAAATCTTGCAGGGATTTTTCTCCTGCTTTGTATCTTTCTTCTGAGGGAAGCTCAAACGCATAACAATTCTCTTTAGGTGCAAAATAAAATACGATCAACAAAATAAACATATATTTCATTGCAGAAAACATTTTTTGGGCAAGTGTTTGAAAAAATTCAAGTTTTGCGCCGTTTGTTAATCCCGTGACTTGTTCGGTGATACTTCCGACTACAACACGGAAAATTACGAAGATTTTACGATGTTTTACTTAGCCAAAAGAACTGATGGATTTGAAGAAATTGTATTGTAAAATATACTCGAACCATTTTAAATAAAATATCCAAGAAATAAAGCCTTTAAAAGGAACAAAATATTTCTTTTCGAAATATCCGAAGAAGATACGAACTCTTCGTGTCACGCAGAGCATATCGGTCAGTGGTTACAGACGCTTTGAGGAATTTTGGAGTCTCGAACGAGATTTGCATACTACAAAAGCTAGCATTTCTTCCGCAAATTCACATAGACGAGAGATAATGATAGATATTCTTGCTAACGCAACTATAAACTTAGAAGAGGTCTACTCTCATTGTGGACTAGCATTTCCGATGCAAGGATTCCTTGTAAAACCAGGAAGAACCTTTCTCGCGTAGCTGAAAGATCTTTTAGTATCATACAGAGAATAATTTCAAGGAGATCAAGGATATTTATTCATAGTAATAGTCTACTTAGGTGAAGACCAGATTGTTCAGTGGTTTGTCCAGATAGCAATGGCTTAATTACAGGTACAATTATAAAATTTTTGAGATATAATGCATAATAATATGGTATATCTGGCAATAAGAGAAACATACTTTATGGCTTGCTAGACTATTTAGAAAAAGCTAAAAAACCTCTATAATACGCATATAAAATATTTACTATAAAATGGCCACTTTTGTCTCTGTGCTCTAATATAAACACAGTTATTGAGGATAGAGAGCTTGAAGTAGATAACTTGCTTCTTGATTATATTGTGCTCTTCATATTTCCAATCACACTCTTTATATCAGAGAACAAAGACACAGCAATTTTAATTTATTATTTCCTATGAAAGTTCAATTAATAATGGACACTCCTGGCATTTGTTTATTCCTGCAGAAGTTATACTACTGACAATAGCAATAATGTAAAATTTTCTCTACAGTACATGCATGAAAAACATACATTACATCGAGATCTCAAAACCCAGAATATTTTCCTAACAAGAAGTAAAATTATTAAGGTATTTTAAACTTTTCTTATTTCATTATAAAAGAATGTGTGTGTTGATTATTTTATGCTAATTGGACTGCAGTTAACAATGAATGAGATGTATTTTTAAATTTCCTCTTATCTACTATGCTTAGTCTATTACAATTGTTTAATTTGACTGGTTTCATGTTTATTTTTTTCTAGCTTGGAGATTTAGGGATTGCTAAAGTGTTAGAAAATTCATCTGACATGGCCACAACACTGATAGGAACTCCATATTACATGTCTCCCGAACTGTTTTCAAATAAACCCTACAACCATAAGGTAAATCTGATAATTAAAACCTACAAGCTGCATAATGTTTCTCTTTCATACATGTAGAGCTTAGAGGAAACACTAAAAAGAGTAAAAAAGTACCAACCCAATAGTGCTAATGGTGCAATATAGTTTAGATTAGACAATACAAAACAAAGGATTCTGTATATAATAATTCAGTACAAATACTAGTACTAATTTTATAATAACTATAAAAGTTTTCATGGATATTAAGATTTATTAATGCTCAGTGTATGTACATTTACATGTGTAATAATCTCAACTACAGGAGAGCACTTTTGCAGTTTTGATGGTTGCGGTGTAGATAGCTATTCCTTATTTTACCGATTTGTCTTGAACAGGGTATGGATTTTTACTTTTTAGTGTCTTAAACAGGGTCAGGGATTTAGATAGCCTCCTTTAGCAGCCGCCCCTGCTAAAGGAGGCCGCTAGGATTTAGACCGCTAGGGGCACATACCTATCCAAAACGGGGTTGAGTACCCCCTCCCCCACCCACACACTTCAGAGAACTTTTATATTTATAATTTTGTCTATTCTATTTTTAATACATTACACTGTATGTCATAGTTTTTAACTTTGACTTTCTATCAATTCAGACACCTCCATTAACTAAACAATACAGTGACGACCTGTGTTCGATTATAAAGATCATGTTGGACCAGGATCCTTACCAAAGACTTAGAGACATCCTTCTATATCTCATTTGCTATTTTCGAGATCTTAAATAAACCTTGACATTTAAGCTCATACGTTGATTGTACTTAACGTTTTTTTTTCTACTGCACACATCACAGGTATCGGTATCGTGTTTATGTCCTTAATATAACCGTGAGCCTCGCTATTTTGTGTCTGGAACTCACGTTCAGATTCATGTTTTAGTGATTTTGTCAATTTCCAGTAGCCCGATGCGAGCGCTCTTTGAGCGTTTTTAAAATGCTTTCTAATCACATGCCGTAACGCATCAAAGTCCTCATGCTATTTTTACGTCGTCTAAGCGAATTATGGTATAACGATTTATAGGGCACAAGGTTCAAATTCACCGTTTCGGCTCTAGGATGCACATGTCATGTCACGTGATCTGGAATGTAAACATAACTGACGCCAAAGTTCGGACATTCTTATAAGGTCAAGATAGTTATTCGTACGAACTCGCAATGATTACAAGATGTGCTTACGGTACATGCAAAAACGATTCTCGATATATATCCCAAACGATGGATAAGAAACACAAGAAATGATCCTGTGAAGTTTTATCACTTCCCCGGTTCAGGTCGACAAAATGAAAGGAGACAGCGCTGAACAGCACAGCTTGTCATCGCGGCGATCATTAAAGATGGCTTATATATACACTTTGTTGGTGGAAATGGGCCAACAGAAGAAAACCCCGACCCAATTTCTGCAGTAGCAAGTAAACATGGTAAAGAAAAAGTAAGTTGAAGTATATTTTCCATGTATTTTAAAACACGAGAGAGAGTGTTTTATCAGGTATAAAGATTCGAGCCGAAGGCGAGAATCTTTGTACCTGATAAAATACGATCTCGAGTGTTTTAAACGGCTTCAAAAACTCCAACACTAATTTGAAACTCAAATACGTTAAAATTCTTGTAGAAATTGACGTAAAAATACATTTTGAGGTAAATTGGGCAAACTGATCATGCGCGAATCACTTTACAAAGCACTCTTGTCATCCCACATTGAATACACATAAAGTAAAATAGATACCCTGTTGGCCGTTTACGGTCATCCTTATTATTACACCTAATTACACAAACGTTGTCCCAGAAAAAAGAACTTTTACTATTTAGGAATTAATTAAAAAACAAAAGAAAGTGTTCGGCTTCAGTGGTCATGTTTTGTCTTTTAATGTATTCCTAATTTCCTAAATCCTTAAATCTCAGGACAACGTTTTCGTAATTATGTGTACTATATATAACGAGACTTTCATAGAGTAAATGGCATAAATAGAAATCTGTATGCTATATTTTCACATATTTTCACTTTTACCAGCGACGCGATCGATGTGATAGATTTTGCGTAGGGAAGGTACGTTCATTATGGGGGGGGCTGGTGTTTTCAGTGTAATTTTTCCATAAGAATGTGTGACCCTCCCCAGTAATTCTAAAACTAAACTTTTGACACTTCCCTCAAAAGTCCCAAAAATACCGATGACCCTCCCCCACCCCACACACACTAGTCTCAGGCTATACCAAAGTTTGCAGAAAAAGCACGCTATTATTCCCACCAATGGGATGGGTGAAACAAGCCACCTAAAGGTTTGATGAAAGAAGAGTTCACACAGATCGGTAGATCGGTGCTTAGTTTCTCCCATATTTTTTCAGCATTTCCAATTCAAAGCGAAAAGTCATCCTGTTTTCATTTTTCTTTTTCCTAAAAAGTGACTCTCAAAATGCTCGAAAGTAATTTGCTTTTTATTTCGCAAATCGATTTCCCGGACATGCAAATGTGAAGTAGAAGCTATGGCAAAATTGGTCGGAATCCCTGTGGCTTTGATTTCGCTCTCCTGAGGTTTTTGTCATATTATTGGTTTTCTAATATTACCAATTTCGAAGATAAATGTTTGAGGCCAAATTTTGACGTTTCAACAAATAATTTGCTAGTTTAGTTTTACTCAGAGTATTGTTTTCTTTTGCTGGTACATAGACGCAAGAAGCACGGAAGTACTCATTGTGAAGGGAATGTGCGTACTCACTGGAACCCTATACAGTATATCGGTC